TTTCTAAAAAGAAAGAGAAAGATTTTAAAATAAAAGAGAAACCCAAAGAGGAAAAACATAAAGAAGAAAAGCACAAAGAAGAAAAACATAAAGAGAAGAAGTCAAAAGACTTGACAGCAGCTGAGGTTGTTAAACAGTGGAAGGAAAAGAAGAAAAAGAAGAAGCCAATTCAGGAGCCAGAGGTGCCTCAGATGGATGTTCCGAATCTCAAACCCATTTTTGGAATTCCTTTGGCTGATGCCGCAGAGAGGACCATGATGTATGATGGCATTCGACTGCCAGCAGTGTTCCGTGAATGTGTAGATTATGTAGAGAAGTATGGCATGAAGTGTGAAGGCATCTACAGAGTTTCAGGTATTGGGGACATGCGCTTAACTTGGTGGTTTTTAAAAATTAACTTCACTTCCATTTTTCAAAGGAAGGAAAAATACTAACTTGTGAGGAAAATTGTGACAAGGCTCCTAAAACTTACTCATTTCCTTGATTCTTCCAGTTGAACAAAAATCCCCCACACTCTTTGTGTGTCTGTGTGTGTGTGTGTGTATGTGTGTGTTTTGGCAGTTTGCTTTTTTCGTGATACTCCCTTTCATTAGGAGGATTTACACATGAGTTATTCAGTTTCCAGCAGCCTGGAATGAGTCGAAATGAAGCATGTGAGTTGTGACCCTTAACTTGGGTGCACTCAAACCTTGCTTAATTCTCACCTTCTTCCCTCTCCAAGCAGAGCCTCAGTGTTGTGAGGGAGATCACCAGGAGAGGGAAGGATATCTGGCTTAAGGGTGATTCATGGCCAAGAGACACATTTATTGACACAATCATGTAATATATTTCCTGAGTTCAGCTAAAGGACGTGGAATGTTATTTGCTAAATGTTCAGGCCCCAAATGTGAATGCTTCTGTCAGCCATATGCAGCTATTACATATATTGGTGAAATTGATTTTCCATTTATCTGTGTTCCATATTGTTGTCAGTGCCATTGAATTGATTCTGACTCCTAGTGACCCTGTGTACAGCAGAGCGGAACCCTGCCCAGTCTTTCTGTGCCATCCTTTCACCTTCCGGTGCTGTATCAGACAACGCTCTGCTGCTCTTTGTAGGGTTTTCACGGTCAGTTATTTTGGAAGTGGCCAGGTCCTTCTTCCTAGTCTGTCTAGTCTGGAATCTCTGCTGAAACCTGTCCACCATGGGTGACCCTGCTGGTATTTGAAATACCAGTGGCATGGCTTTCAGCATCACAGCAACATACAGCCACCACGGTATGACAACCGACGTGTGTGTGTTCCCTGACCGGCAGGGTGGTGTGTTTCCAGACTGGGAAATGAACCTGGGCCACAGCAGTGAGATTGCCAAATCTTAACCATTAGACCGTCAGGGCTGGCTCTATGCTCCATATGTATGAAAAGTTAAGTTTCATACTTGTTAAGAATGTAATTCATATTGAGTGTCTAAAATCAAGCAAACTGTATACTATTAAAAGTTAAAAGATTTTATTTCTTGCAAAGCAGATTGACTTTTGTATTGGTATAGGATGAGCGTCCTGACTTTTGGTGACATCTGTGTTCCAAATCATCACATTCCTGTAATTCAGTTTCTTGGTACTAGAGATCTATTTTATAAAATTCATTGTTGGTTACACATATTTTCATGATGAGTTAAATTATACACATTTAGATATATAAAGATTAGAATTAGTTTTTCCCTTTAGTTGGTTCATACACATTTCTAGAAGGTAGGTTTGATATTTAAGTTTTGTTGAGAAATGGCAGGCGTTTTTGCTAATTGGGGAAACCTTTACATAATCCTGTAGATAACGTTATCATTTAAGACTCTTTTGGCTAAAATGCTACAAAGAAAATAAAATAAATTAGGCATTGAATTTGAAGTTATAACTCCTTAGTAACATAAAAATAAACACATTTAAATGAATTTGAAAATTTGACTTTTAAGAATAATTTATGATGAATTGATCTTTAAAGATTTAAACAATACTAACATAGCTGCTTCTCTCACGTGATTTTGATAGGCATAAAGAAATTTTGTTTTAGGTGAAAGTTTCTCTGAAGAGTTTCTACAGCTTTGTTCAAGGGACGCTTTTGTCTTTGCCCTGTGTTTTGTCTGCGATGTCGGCGTCCTTTTGGAGAGTCAGAGCTGCAGGACCCCGCTCCCTGTTGGCATGTCGGAGCCTCCTGGGAGCTGCCCCTGATGGAGGCCGAGCTCCTGCGCTGAGCAGTTTTTTCCTTGCTTTTTAAGCTCTTGCAGCGTGCTGCATTCAGCACAGTGGGCTACACAGTTATGGCTGTGGCTTTTCTCTTTCTGTGCTAATAACAATATTGTTTTCTGCTGGAGACTTTTGGTTCTCACTTATTCATATATTAGTTCCAGTTTTAAAACTAATGTGTCATTTTGCATATGCTCTTTCTCTGCCTGGGATGCTTTCTCTGAAGAGTCCAGTTTTTAGAATGAAAACATTTTGATAATTTCAGAGTAACAACAAACCAAACACATATTCTAATTGTTCTCTTGCGCGATTTTCTGGGTAGGCACTATTGGGGGAAAATTAGATATGTATTAAATATATATGAGAGAGAGAGGAGATCTTTGCCAAGAATTTCAGTTAAAGTTATCACTCACTATGTTTTACTCATATTGTCGTAAAAGTAAGAAAATAGGAATTTTTTTCTAATTTTTCTGCCTCAAAATAAAGATTGTACAAAAATAAGATTCAGATTGTTATTTTCACATTTGGAGTTATTGATTTTATTTTGTCAATGCTGGATAAGTTACACATTTGTTGTAATGCCATTAAAAGGTTATCACACCAAGTAGGAATGGCAAAGCCCAGATGTAAGCACTATTGATTGTAAAATGCTGTGCAGATTAGACAACACAAGGATTTGCATTTACCATTACAATCTGTCAGCCTTGATTTGCGGCTTATTTCAAATAATTGGCCTGAAGTTTTGAGTATTAAAACAACAGAAAGCTACTTTGTATTCTTACGAGCAATCATTGTCACTGAATTATGTCACTTAAGTGCAAATTGTACTAAAGACTTAAAAACTTATATAATGTTTGAAAAACATTCATTGTATGTGTCAGTGTTTGTTTCTGTCCTGTAAGAAAAGCAAAACAATTTTTTTTTTGGTGAGGAAGATCAGCTTTGAGCTAACATCTGTTGCCAATCTTCCTCGTTTTGCTGGAGGAAGATTGTCACTGAGCTAACAACATCTGTGCCAGTCTTCCTCTATCTTGTATGTAGGATGCCACCACAGCATGGCTTGATGAACAATGTGTAGGTCCGTGCCTGGGATCCAGACCCACGGACCCCAGGCCGCTGAAGCAGAGCGCACGAACTTAACCACTACGCCACCAAGCCAGCCCCCAAAACAGTTTGATTTTAGAAACCCAGGTTTCACTCTTTTTTTGTTCCAGCTCTCTTCCAGATTAAGAAAACAAGTAAAGAATTCAAATTTAAAAATAGAAATTAGATGGAGTTTATTTAATGAGGAATAATTTTCAAAGGGTTTGTTTCGATAGAGAACTCACCTTTTGCATTTATGATACGGTCTTTATTTAACAAAAAGGTAATTACCTGCAACTTTTTGGAACGTGCTTATGTACACCAAGTGGAGTTGTGTTTTATGTTATCAGTCTCGTGACCAGTTAGGGAAAACAGTTAGCTGCTTGTGTAGAGCAAGACTTATGCTTGGATTATAGTTTAATTTTTTTCCTGAATTTTTACATATCTTTAAATTAAAAACAAATTTTTTTGCCTGAATCCATTGGCATATTTGCTTCCTGTGTCCATGGTGGCTCTTGACTTTTGTTCTAGATATTGAGGTTTTCTCTTATCATTTAGCTTTTGGTTCAATGCACCCTCCAAGCTCAGTCTTTTATATTGTTTGCAGAGGAATTGTCTGACTCCTGTGCAGATAAATGCTTCGTAACTAAAAGTTTGTTATTGTCAGGTTGGCTCTTCTCAGATCTGCCCCCAGGGGTGGGTGCAGAGGTGGAGAAAGCTGTGAGTTTGATTTTTTTTTCTCGATATTCTCTTTCTCTTCTGAATTTGAATGTTTTAAGGAATTAAATCAAAGGTGGATGAGCTGAAAGCAGCCTATGACAGAGAGGAGTCTCCAAATTTGGAAGAATATGAGCCTAACACTGTAGCCAGTTTGTTGAAGCAGTATTTGCGGGACCTTCCAGAGAACCTGCTCACCAAAGAGCTTCTGCCTCGCTTTGAAGAGGCCTGTGGGAGGAGCACGGAGAGTGAGAAAGCGCAGGAATTCCAGCGCCTGCTGAAGGAGCTGCCGGAGTGCAACCAGCTCCTGATTTCCTGGCTGATCGTGCACATGGACCATGTTATTGCAAAGGAACTGGAAACAAAAATGAATATACAGAACATTTCCATAGTGCTCAGCCCAACTGTCCAGGTACATGGCCGTCTCTGCACACGTGCTCTCTGGTGCTGGCCCTGGGGAGTTAGGGGAACATTCTTTCTTGCTGAGTCACATTCAAAGCAATTAGCCAGTGAAAGTAGATAATGAATTAGCCTGAACATTGGTCTTTTTCTTTCATAATGTGGACATTGTCGACATAAAAGATAATGAGCATATTTGCCCACTAGCTTGTAGCTATGTAATTTGAATGTTGTATAATCTTTGATGTGAGTTTATTAACCAGTTCCTGATGACAGTGATCTGTCATTAGTCGAGAAGGACCCCATAGTACCTGCAGTTACAGAGTTCATCTATAGAATTTTTTTTTTTTTAAGGAAGATTAGTCATGAGCTAACTGCTGCCAATCCTCCTCTTTTTGCTGAGGAAGACTGACCCTGAGCTAACATCCATTCCCATCTTCCTCTACTTTATACGTGGGACGCCTACCACAGCATGGCTTGACAAGCGGTGCCATGTCCGCACCCGGGATCCGAACCGGCGAACCCTGGGCCGCTGAAGCGGAGCGTGTGCACTTAACTGCTGTGCCACCGGCCCGGCCCCAAATCTATAGAATTTTTAAGATTTCGGTTATTTCTTCAAATAGCGTTATTGCTTAATTATATCACACACACATATGAGACTCAGGTACAAAGGGGCCTCTCGTTATTTGGTCAGGGGTTTAACCTGAAGGTTTATTTATAAAGGTAGATCTTAGAGAAGCATTTCAGAGACTCTGAGTCTGAGGAGCCGTTTCAGGGAATTGGGTAGTGTGGTAATTGGTGTCTCTTCGCAACGTGAATACTTGGCCTGCATTTATTGCTGCTCATTTCCTGCTGATGGCGAGTGTATGTTTTCCTTTAATTAGATTATTGATATTTTACTCAGGCCAAACACAAAAGGCAAAAAAATGAGATGATGGTTATGTTTTTTATTTTAAGCCCTCTTTGGCCAATATACTAGGTTATTATCAGTCATTGTCTGTTATAACACACTTTTATAGGATGTATTTATTCTTTCATTGCTCATTGGCTATATTTTGGAAGCAAAATGTTTCTCACATTTCAGGTTTATCACTCATATTGGTCAGGATCTCAGAGTTTGGTGAATATTACATTGTTACTTAATATTACTATATAGGGGTAACAGTATCACAGAAGATTGAAGTGTATATTGTAAGAGTAAGATTTAGGTAGGAAATAATTTCTCTCCTTAGCTTCCCAGCCAGCCTAATGCCATGATCTAGCATCTGAACCTCGTACTTACACCCTGGCCGTGCACGTCTGCCCGGAGGCGTTCGCGTCTGGAGTGAAGACTCTCGCTGTCAGCCCAGCTTACAGCTGCAAATGCTCTTTCTTCCTTCCCATTCCCCGGGAGAGCCAGTGGTGTTAAAAGTTCTCAAAATAACTTGAAATAAGGAACATGAGGTTTTTTTGATCAGTTAATATTGTAGTGCTAAAAAAGAACAAATTGATGGTCATCAGCTTCTGCATCCTTTTCCTGGCTTTTTTCCCCCAATTACTTGTGGTGCTTGAGTACATGACTTAGTTCATATTTTTCCATTCTCTAAATTGGTCACTAATTAGCAAAGCATATCTAGTCACTACTGAGGAAAACTTTAATTCACATATCCAGAATTAAAAGATGTGCTATGTGATAGACAGAAATTAAATGAGGTGAAATGGTAATTTTAGTGGATTTCTTGCAAATCTTTTTACTTTTTTCTTAGATTAGCAATCGTGTCCTGTATGTGTTCTTCACGCATGTGCAAGAGCTCTTTGGAAATGTGGTACTAAAGCAAGTGACAAGACCTCTTCGATGGTCTAACATGGCCACCATGCCCACACTGCCAGAGACCCAGGAGAGCATCAAGGAGGAGATCAGGAGACAGGTGTGTGTGCTGAGCCCTGCGCCTGAGCCCTGAGGGGCCCACCTCACTCCTACCCTTTTGGAGACATGAAGATGATGATGGTGATGATGATGATGATGATGATGATGAGCTCTTGTTCATTAAGCACTTTCTGTGTGTCTGCAGCTGTTAGGCACATTCTTCATGGCACACCGAAGCCAGAAATTTCCATTTGGCCTATTTCATGCTAATGAAGTCAGAATATCATGGTAGAAACAGCACAGGTTTTGAAATCAAAAGACCTGGCTTTAATTTCTTGCTCTGCTCCTGATTGACTGATTTTAGGCAAATTGCTTAATGTCTTTAAGCCTCAGTGATCCCATTTTAAAATGGATCCTCTCATAGGTTTCATGTGAAATTTACCATAAATGAGATAATGCATTAAAGATGCTCAGCTGGTGCCAGGCCCGTTGTAAGCAGTCGAGAAATGTTAGTTTATCTGGACAAGGTTGCTGTTCCCTGCTGTATTTTACAAATAAGAATACTGAAACTTGGGCGAGTTAAATAACTTACTTTGTGTCACATGTTTACTAAGCTGTAGAGCCAAGATTTGACCCCAAATCCAGTGCTCTTCCACTATCTACTTTGATAGAAGAAACGGTGCCATTTGGGTGTATGTGTGTTTGGCAAGCTGAGTAAGAAATTCAGGGCTACACAAGAAATTTACTTACATTTGATGATTATTCCGTCTTTTATTTGCATACGCGTTATCAAATCCCTCCTTGCTTTTCTTCCCTTTTATCTGCTCCAAGCTCCCCTTTCTTCTTACTTGATGATGTGTTGGGGGAAGGGACGTGAGTGAACTGCTGTTGAACCAGTGTAACAATGAATGAGCCTAATGCTGAGGCATAACAAGAAGAGTGATTTGTCAGTCATATCCTTGAATAAGTAATTTGTGCCACAATTTTATTCCTTTAGTGATAATTGAAAAATAGTTAATTCTACATCTTTAGAAATTGCATGTGGTTTTATTTTAAGATAAGACGTGGAATACTACTCAGTGTGTGGTGTATTGTTTTCTAGGAGTTTCTTTTGAATTGTTTACATCGAGATCTGCAGGGTGGGATAAAGGATTTATCTAAAGAAGAAAGACTATGGGAAGTACAAAGAATTTTGACAGCCCTCAAGAGAAAACTGAGAGAAGCTAAAAGACAAGTGAGTGAATTTATTTTTGGTACATCATGTTTATAATAAAATATAAAAAGAATGTGCTGGAATCTTTTATATACTGTTTCAAGTTATTTTAAATATACAATATATACATGTCTCTTGAAGTGAAGTTCCCTGATGGGAAATTTACTCCCTCAGATGTTCCCAGTTCTGGATGATTGATCCTTCAGCTCAGTCTCAGGGAAATGTTTAATTTAGAAAGTTGGGTTTTTTTGTTAAACATGATTCTACTAAAAGATGTTTTCTCATTTCCTGCTTGGTCGTACCTGTGAACAGCGCTTTCTAAGCATGAGCGGCAGGCGGACAGTGATGCATCTCCAAGTCTGCTGGGGGATTTGAGGCCTTGGCGGCAGCTCTTTCAAAGCTCGTGGAGGTGCTGCAGATCAGGAGGGATTTTCTTTTCCTAATAATAGGAAGCGTGGCAGGGGACTCCTGATAAGTTTGGGGGTTGTGAGTCGGACTTTTGATCTCCCCTCTAGTTTAGTGTGTGTTGCTTGGCTCTGGGACTCTGAGTTTCCCAGCCACACCACAGCTAAGATCCCAGATCTCTGGACCCTCTTAAAACCTGCATGCAGATTCAGTGGCAGGTTCGAACAATGCTTCCAAGGCACATTAGTTAGCATTTATCAGACTGAGAGAACGTGACTGATGGCGCGTGACCATTGTAGTTGTGCTAAAAGACAAAGACAACCACGCACTGTCGTTGCTTTGAGGTTAGATGTTTGCGTTTATGTGGAGGATAGCTTTGTCAGAAAGGAAACGTCCACGGGATTTTTACATGTGCATTCCAGGACTGGCAGAAGCCCTCTGTGTGTTTTTCTTCCTTCTTGTCTCCTGCTTACCAGGTTATCTATCTGTTGCTTCCTCTGCCTGTTTATTGTTAGTGTTAGTAGTATTCCCTTCATGATCCAGCCTGGAATCGGGTTTTTGTGACTGACCAACCAGGCCACGTGGTTGTGATTGTTGACCATGTGGCATTGCCCATCAGCCTTTAGATGGAGGGTCTGTGACCTAGAACATGGCTGATGTGGGTTTGGCTTTTGTTTCTCTCGCTTCTGTATCTCTCTTGGGTAAAGGGATTTTGATGTAGCAAACCAGAGCCAACACAGGAAGAGATGGAATGCCTTTACTTGACCAGTTTTCTTGATGCTGTCTTTTCATGCCTGCTCATTAATTCACAAAAAACTCAGAAGGTTCTATCAAGTTGATTTTAGCATTGAGGAATAAATGGCTTTTAAAGATAGAAGTAATATAATTCATTATATTAACAGACTAAAAATAAGAAAAACCACAAGATGATGTCAATAGATGCAGAAAAAGCACTTGGCAGAATGCAACACTTATTCATGATAAAAACTCTTAGCAGACAACTTAGCCTGATAAAGGACATTTACAAAAAAGTCTATGGTTAATGTTATAGTTAATGGTGAAAGTCTGCTTTCCACTAAGATTGGGTGTACAAGGCAAGGATTTCTGCTCTCACCACGTCAGTATTGTATTAGAGCTGCACTCTAGCCATGCAATAAAATGAATAAAAGGGGAATACAGATTGGAGAGAAATAAGTCTGTATAATGTAGACAACATGATCGTCTGTGTGTAAAATCCTAAGGAATCTATGAAAAAAACCTAATAGGTGAGTTTAGTAAGGTTGTAGGATACAAGATCAGATATACAGAAGTCTGTTGTATTTCTTTATATTTAAAGCAATGAACAATTGGTTATTAAACCGAAAAAGGAAAAAGAAGACCTAAGTAAGTGGAGCGATATATCTCAATGTTGTTCAGATGTTAGGTTTTCTCAAATTAATCTGTAGGTTCATTCCCAGTCAAAATCTAAAGAGATGGTTTTTGTAGAAATTAACCAGCTCTCCACGTGGAAATACAAATGACCTAGAATAGCCTAAATGATTTTGAAAAAGAACAGTGTTGGAGCACTCACGCTGCCTGATTGTAAGACTTCTATAAAGCTGCAGTAATCAAGACAGCAGGTATCGGACAGGGCAGATGTATAGAATAGAAAGTTCAGAAATGGACCCACACATATATGCAATCAATTTTCAACAGAGATGCCAAGACAATTCAGTGGGGAAGGGTTTTCTTTTCAACAAATGGTGCTGGAACAATTGGATACCTATACGCAAAAAAAAAGAACCTTGGCTCTTTCCACACAACATATACAAAAATTAACTCAAAGTGAATTATATTCTAAAATCCAGAGAAAACTTGCAGAGGAAAACAAAAAATCTTACTGAGGCAGTAAGTAAGTAACAAATTACTAAGGCAGTGATTTCTTAAATGGGACACAAAGCTCACAAACTATGAAAGAAAAATTTGATAAATTATATTGCATCAAAGTTTTAAAATATGCTCTTCAAAAGACACTGTTAAGAAAACAAATAAGCCAGAGGCTGTGACAAAATATTTGCAAAAAGCATGTATCTGATAAAGGACTTGAACTAGAATATATAAAAAACTCTTAGAACTTAATTAGAAGACAACTCATATTTTCTTTTAGATTTTAGTTTTTAGAGCAGTTTTATGTTCACAGCAAAATTAAGAGGAAAGTGTAGAGATTTCCCATATACCTCCTTACCCACTGTGTGCATTATCTCCTCCATTATCAACATCTCCACCAGAGTGAAACGTTTGTTACAGTAACAGTTCAATTTTAAAAAGGCAAAAATTTGAACAAGTACTTTACCAAAGATGATGTACAGATGGCAAATAGCACATGCAAAGATGTTCAACATCATTAATCATTAAGGAAATGCAAATTAAAATCACAATGAGATGCCACTACACACCAGCCAGAATGGCTAAAAAACTAAGTGTTGACAAGAATGTGGAGCAACTGGAATTCTCATATATTGCTCTTGGTAATGTAAATGGTACAGTCATTTTGGAAAACAGTTTGGCAGTTTCTTACAAAGTTAAACGTGGTTACCATATGACCTAGCAATCCCACTCCTAGGTATTTATCTAAGAGAAGAAAGCATATACCTGCAGAGAGCATATGCAAGATGTTCACAACAACTCTAGTTAAATAGCTCAAAACTAGAAAGGACCCAGATGTCTGTCAGCTGGTGAATGGATCAACAAATTGGGGTACATTCATATCAAAGCATGTTACTCAGCAAACTACCAATACAAATGACAATATAGACGAATTGTAAAAGCATTATGCTTTTAGGTAAAAAAGACTACTTACTGATTGATGCAGTTTATATGACACTCAAGAAAAGGGAAAACTATAGCAATGGAAAGCAAGTCAGTGGTCGCCAGGGGCCAGCAGAAGGTGGAAGAGCCCAAGGGTACTTTGTGTGGTGATGAAAATGTTCTGTATCGTGATTGTGGTGGTAGTTACTTGACTGTATGCATTTGTCAAAACTAATTGAATTGTATGCTTAGAATTGACCCCCTCCCAAAAAAAAGTATCACGGAAAGTAATTTATGTGAAAGGGTTCCAGAAATGATAAGCACGTTAACCAGAATTGAACATTTTCCACAGTGAAGCCATAGACAAAGATCCACATGTTATTTTCCAAGCCCAGTTAGCAAATGCCCATCTATCCAGGTGGTTCATCTGACTGTTACTGTTATTTTTTCAATTCTAGGAAATGAGAGGGAAACTTCTAGAATGGTGAATGGTGTGAATTTGTTGCGTATGTGTTATATATAGGCTAACCAATTCTTTTTCACGTCTTACTTGACAGGAGTGTGAAACCAAGATTGCACAAGAGATAGCCAGTCTTTCAAAAGAGGATGTTTCCAAAGAGGAAATGAATGAAAATGAAGAAGTTATAAATATTCTTCTTGCCCAGGTAAGCTAAATTCTTTTTCTCTATTTGCAGGATTCTCTTTTTTTAAGTAAAAATTGTATATATAGGCACACGTCGTTTTATTGCGCTTCACTTTATTGCACTTGGCAGATAATTGCTCTTTTTACAGGACTCTCCACCAGCAAAAAGATTGTGACTCATTGAAGGCCCAGATGATGGTTCGCATTTTTTAGCAATAAAGTATTTTTTAATTAAGGTGTATACGTTATTTTTCTAGACATAATGCTGTTGCATACTTAGTAGACTACAGTATAGTGTAAACATAACTTTTTTATGTACTGGGAAACCAAAAAAATTTATGTGACTCACTTTATTGCAATATTCACTTTATTGTGGTGGTCTGGAACTGAACCCACAATATCTCTGGGCTGTGCCTGTATTTAAGGTGAACAACATGATGATTTAATCTACTTATACGTAGTGAAATGATTGCTACAGTTAAGCTACCAACATCTCCCCGTTTCCCCCACCCTCAAGGTAACCACTCTTCTACTCTCTGTGTCTGTGAGTTCAAGGTTTTTTCTTTTTGGTGAGGGAGATTAGCCCTGAGCTAATATCTGTTCCCAATCTTCTTCTTTTTGCTTGAGGAAGATTGTCCCTGAGCTAACATCTGTGCCAGTTTTCCTCTACTTTGTATATGGGATGCCATCACAGCATGGCTTGATGAGCCATGTGTAGGTCTGTGCCTGGGATCCAAACCCTCGAACCCCAGGCCACCAAAGTGGAGTGCACGAACTTAACTGCTATACCACCGGGCTGGCCCCTCAACTTTTTTTTTAAGATTCTACATCTAAGTGAGATCATACAGTATTTGTCTTTGTCTGGCTTATTTCACTTAGCATAATGTCCTCTCAGTTCATCCACGTTGTCATAAATGACAGGATTTCCTTCTTTCTCATGGCTGAATAATATTTGTGTGTCTGTGTGTGTGTATACATCCCATATCTTCTTTATCCATTCATCCATGGATAGACACTTAGGTTGTTTCCATATCTTGGCTATTGTGAATAATGCTGCTATGAACCCGGAAGTGCAAATGTCTCTTTAATATCCTGTTTTCGTTTCCTTTGGATATATATATCTAAAAGTGGATTGCTGGATCATGTGATAGTTCTAGGTTTTATTTTTTGGGGAGCCATCGTACTGTTTTCCACAATGGCTGTACCAATTTACATTCCCACCGACAGTGTACAAGGGCTCCCTTTTCTCTACAGCCTTGCCAACACTTATCTTTTGGTTTTTGACGTAACAGATATGAGGTGGTATCTCATTGTTTTGATTGGCATTTCCCTGATGATTAGTGACATTGAACATCTTTTCATATACCTGTTAGCCATTATGTATGTCTTCTTTTAAGAAATGTCTATTCAGATCCTTTGCCCATTTTTTAACCAGGTTGTTTATTTTCTTTCTATTGAGTTGAGTTCCTTATATATTTTGGATATTTACCCCTTATCAGATACATGGTTTGCAGATATTTTTTCTCCTTCCATGGGTTGTCTCTTCACTCTGTTGATTGTTTCCTTTGCTGGGCAAAAGTTTTTCAATTTGATGCAGTCTCACTTGTCTGTTTTTGCTTTTGTTACCTCTGCTTTTGGGGTCATATCTAAAAAATCATTTCCCAGATCTATGCCAAGAAACTTTTTCCCTATGTTTTCTTCTAATAGTTTTGTTGATGCAGGTCTCACACTTAAATCTTTAGTCAATTTTGAGTTGATTTTTGTATATGGAATGAGACAAGGGTTCAGTTTGATTCTTTTACATGTAGAAAACCAGTTTACCAACACCATTTCTTGAAGAGTCTGTCCTTGCTCCATTGTGTGTTCTTGGCACCTTTGTCAAAGATCAATTGATCATAAATACGTGGATTTATTTCTGGGCTCTCCATCCTGCACCATTGGTCTGTATGTCTACTTTTATGCCAGTACCATAGTGTTTTGATTATTGTAGCTTTGTAGGATATTTTGAAATGAAGTAGTGTGATCCCTGCAATTTTGTTCATTTTGTTCTAGAGATGTCATTGAATCCGTAGATCACTTTGGGTAGTATCAACATCTAAACAATATTATTTCTTCTGATCCATGAACATGGGATATCTTCCCATTTATTTGTGTCGTCTTCAGTTTCTTTCATCAGTGTTTTATAGTTTTCAGTGGATAGCTCTTTCACCTCTTTGGTTACATTTATTCTAAGTTGGTTTTTTTTTTTTTTGGATGATATTGTAAATGGAATGGTTTTCTTAAATTTCTTTTTCAGATAGTTTGTTGTTAGTGTATAGAAGTGCAACTGATTTTTGTATGTTAATTTTGTATCCTGCAACTTTACTGAATTTGTTTATTCTAACAGTTATTGGGTGAAGTCTTTAGGGTTTTCTGTATATAAGATCATGTTGTCTGCAAAAAGAGACAATTTTACTTCTTTCCAATTTGAATACCTTTTATTTCTTTTTCTTGTCTAATTATTCTGGCTAGGACTTCCAGTACTGTATTGAGTGGAACTACTGAGAGTGGGCACCCTTGTCCTGTTCTTAGTCTTAGAGGAAATGCTTTCGACCTTTCACTGTTGAGTATGATGTTATCTATGGGCTTGTCGTATATGGCCTTTATTATGTTGACCTATGTTCTTCTTATATCCACTTTTTGAGAGTTTTTATCATGAAAGGCTATTGAATTTTGTCACATGCTTTTTTGCATCTATTGAAATGATCAAACGATTTCTATTTTTCAGTCTATTAATATGGTGTATCACATTTATTGATTTGCATCCCAGAGATAAATCCCACTTGATCATGGTGTATGATCGTTATAATGTGTTGTTGAATTTGGTTCGCTAGTATCTTATTGAGGACTTTTGCATCTATGTTCATCAGGGAAATTGGCCTGTAATTTTCTTTTCTTGTAGTCTTTTCTTCCTCGTCTGGCTCTGGTGTGAGGGTAATGCTGACCTCTTAAAATGCGTTTGGGAGTGTTCCTTTCTCTTCAGTTTTCTGGAAGAGTTTGAGAAGGATTGGCATTAATTCCTCTTTCTATGTTTGGTAGATTTCATCTTTGAAGCCATCTGGTCCTGGTCTTTTCTTGGTTGGGAGATAGTTGATTACTGATTTAGTCTCCTTACTTCTGATTGGTCTGTTCAGATTTTCTGTTTCTTCATGATTCAGTCTTGGTAGGTTGTATGTTTCTAAGAACTTATCATTTCATTTCTTCTTGGTTATCCAGTTTGTTGGTGTATAAATGTTCATAGTTGTCTCGTATAGACCTTGTATTTCTCTGTAAAAGCTGTAGTGTTTCCTCTTTGATTTATAATTTTATTTGGGTCCTCTCTTTTTCTCTTAGTCTAGCTAAACGTTTGTCAAGTTTTTCTTTTCAAAAAGCAACTCTTAGTTTCATTGATCTTTTGTGTTGTTTTTCTAGTCACTACTTCATTTCTGCTCTGATCTTTATTTTTTCCTTCCTTCTGCTAATTTTAGGTAGAGTTTGTTCTTTTTTTAGTTCTTTGAGGTATAAAGATAGGTTATTTGACGTCTTTCTTTTTTTCTTAATGTAGGCATTTATTACTATAAACCTTGCTCTCCAAATTGCTTTTGCTGCATTCCATAAGCCATGGTATGTTCTGTTTCCATTTTCATTTGTCTCTAGATGTTATGTGATTTCTTCTTTGACCCAGTGGTTGTTCAGGAGTGTGTTGCAAGACTGTAAATGGTCATTTTATATCACAATTTGAGAAGCTCAACTACAGAGGTGTGACTCTTCTCACCAAACTTGTAAGATGGTTCAGCGGCTTTAGAGGACTGTGCCTGTTGTGTTTGGCCCTACCTTAATGTGGAGTTTGCTGAAGTACTCAGCTGGGGAAAGGAACTGGCTTCTGTTGAGTGAGTGCTGCTTACTGGACACTGTTCTAGATGCTTTATTTCATCTCATCTCATCCATACACAGATCTGAGTTACCTATAACGTGCCCTAATTTATAGATTAGTGGTACTTGTTCCATTTTAATGAGATTGGACTTTAATAAATATTTTTAAAACATATTCTTCCTGATGTCACAAATTTTGGGATCCTTAAAGTGTAATGATACAGATTTTAACTGATAGTTGTTGCTAATAACAGCTTTTAGATATTTTAGATATTAGATTTTATTCTTTGCAGGTGAAAGTCAGATGTTGGAGATGAATTGTTTTATTATTCCCGCACTGATTTGACAAATAGCTGTTGAGTATCTACTGTATTCCAGGCATAGAGCTCAAGACGAGCTCTTTTCTTTCTTTCTAAATTTCTCAAGTTACCCTTATTCTGTTCTAGAAGTTCCCAGAGTTTAACCAGAAAGGAATGAAGTTCTAGGCTCTGACATTGTGTTTTCAGAAACTCATGTATGTGGGATACCTAAAGCCTTACAAGTTTCAGTCCTTTTCTGTCACTTCTGAAAAATACATTGTTTTGCCAAGCAGGAACACATAGCTCTTCCCCTGAAGAGAGAAGAAAGTCCCAGATTTAGTCTTTCTTTTGGAGGTTTTCAATCTGGTATTTTCTGGGACACGAGGTTAGCAGGCGTGCCGAGCTGAGGAAAGCATCTCTGTTTAGAAACAGCTGGGGAGCACCGCACAGCCCCTCCAGGAGGGTCTCCGTGCGCGCTGGGGGCTCTAGAGCTTGACCACAGCGTCTTTCAAGATCGACCACAGGTGCTTATCCTCAGTACCTATTTGGAAGGAAATGCTGTAGACCCTTTTCTGCCTCCAACTCCCAATTTCCATAGCCTTACATCTCTGTTACCACCTAAGTTTTGTCTGCTCTGGTCTCTAGGTTGGAGGAGCTTGGGCAGATGGGGATTTTTCCCCGTGGGTGATCCAGTCAGTTTTAGAAATGTATATTCTGTTAAAGCAGAATATTTACTATTTAAATATTATCTCTGGGGACATGAGTTGAGGAGGACAGTGGCTTGTGGTGAGGAGAAAACATTTCTCCTGTGAGCCTCTTTTCTTCACTAGATGTGCTTTAAGGTGACACTGACACCAGCTGCGCATCTCCTGGGTCCTTCTTTCCTTGGTGACACTATCAAAGGCCACCTTGGCCCTAAAACAGACTGCCTTTACTGAGAGGTGGGAAGACACTCAGGAAGGGCTGGGAAGCACAAACAGACTTAGTCACCTGAACTTGGGCTTTGTGCCCAGTGTGTAGCCTCACAGGGAGTCTTTGCAAAACCAGGAAATGGCATTCCTAAGCAGCATTTTATGTCGTGAGAAGAATCCAGTCATTCCTCTCAAATAGCTTAGTTTACATTTTCTCAAAGAAGCCTTTTCTTCACATTAAGGAAAGAGGATATTTTTTGGTTGTGCAGTACAGCAAGCTTTCTCATAACTTGTGTGTTAGGTGTATGGGGCTAAAGAATTCACGGAGACCTAGGAGACCCCCCAAAAAGTGACATTTCCCAGACTCAGACTCTGAAAAGTGTTCACCAGTGATCATTATTGTAGGAGAATGAGATTCTGACGGAGCAGGAGGAGCTTCTGGCCATGGAGCAGTTCCTGCGCCGACAGATCGCCTCAGAGAAGGAGGAGATCGAGCGCCTCAGAGCCGAGATTGCCGAGATTCAGAGGTACGAGAAGCTGAGGATTTGGCATTTCCAAGAATATTTACTTAAATATAAGCTTAACTGTTTCAGCTCTTGAAGGATTAGGCATCTGAAATTAATCATCTTTAAGGTTCTTACTTAGTAAGTCTTAAGAATGGTGTTATGTTGAGTAGACTCATGAGAACCTGGGAACTCTGAAAGAAGGGAGGTGACAGACAAGCATACCTTGCTCTGCTGGTCTGTAAAGTTGTCCTTGGCCTCTCGCCCCTGCAGTCGTCAGCAGCACGGCCGAAGCGAAACGGAGGAATACTCCTCTGACAGCGAGAGCGAGAGTGAGGACGAGGAGGAGCTGCAGGTCATCCTGGAGGACCTGCAGAGACAGAACGAAGAGCTGGAGGTGAGTCCGGGGAAAGATCACCAAAAACACCACAGCAATTCTAGAAACCACATCGTTTCTGTAGAAACCACATAGTTCCCCTTAGAATTGCTCTTCTTTTCCTTGGTAACCAACTGGGAGGCTGAATAGAGAGGGATACCGGGGGACATCTCACCAAAGCGCACGAGCTGACTTCTCGCCGAGCAGGTGGCACAGATGTGGCCTCCTCAGGCTGTCCTGAGGTGTGGTGACCTTTGCTGGCTGTGCTGTGCCACACAGTGCCTCCTCTCCCACCTCAAGGAAAGCCTCACCTGACTGCTGGTGTGAGCAGCTCGGCATGGTCTGGTCTGTGTTCCCAGAGAAGACGAACAGGACGAGAAATGCTAGTGGAAGAAGGAGAAGTCTCCTGAGCCTCCCTGTGGTAAAATGAGCGGCAGGGTTCTCTCTTGGTCTCAACCCATAAGCCACACACAGGCAAGAGGGAACTCGGCCCTAGGGGACCGGGACACAGCTGCACAGTGAAGAGAGCGTGGTGGGTGTCGGTGGTCTTGATCAGAATGTCCCTTCTTACCCTAAATAACAAAGTCTCTAGATGTTTCCCCTGAGGTTGAGAGAGAAGCCGTTCTCTTCTTAGAGAGGAGTCTGAGAGCAGTGGGGCCTCTTGCTTCCCTCGTTCAGGTGCGCTCAGCTGCTGGGGGAGCCAGAGCTGCCCTCCGCAGAGAAAACTAGAATTCCCCACGAAACACCCCTACAAAAGCCCTCTCCGCAGACCCTGCGCCCAGAGTGCAGACAGGACGCCTGCTGAGGCCCAAGGTCACGATTCTCGCCACGGCGGGGGGGTGTCAGGGAAGCAGGGCAGGCGCTGAGACCTGGGCCACCAGGTCACTTCCATGCTCCAGGAAGGTCTCACCTTAGCACCTTACTTTGCTTTCTTAACATTTCACAGATCATATTAAAATCCTAAGGGGGAAAGCATCCCAGATTTACAGTACTTGGGATGTAGGCTAAGCTGCTGTAACAAAGAGTACTCTCGTGGTTTGAACAAGGTAGTTAGAGCTGTCGTCGGGTGGACATGCAGGTCTGCTATCCTCCACACAGGACTTTTTCCACTTGGGGTCCAAAGTGGCGGCTCTGAGTCTTGCCCACTCTTAGTCAGCAGGAAGGAGAAGGGCATCAAGGAATGCCTGTTATCGGGACGAGATGCACACATGGAACCCAGGCTTCGGGCCCCCTTTAGCGAAGGTCAGTCACGTGGCCTCGTGCCTGGGGGTGTGGGGTTAGCTCCTGTTTATGTCACTGCAGCTTTGCTGAGCGATGCAGGTAGTTTAAACTGATCGTGCTTTTCTGTGGGTTGACTAAGTAGCACAGTTCAGATGGAAGATAATGCCATTCACACAAGACAAAGGACATTCACTTTTGAGACAAATCCAGGATTTTGTCCTGTCTCTAACTCCCCCTCTAATTGCTACTGAAGTCACTTGTACCTTCCCCTTAATTAAGGGCTAATCAGGAGCCAATTCAAAAACATAAATCTATTTTAAACAGTAGAATACTTAATATTAGTAAAATAATTATTTTCTGTTGGTACATTCATGTTTTCCAGATGTATTTACTCTTTTGTAATTAGGAGAGTTTATGTTCTTGAGTTTTATCCATTCTGAGTCACGGTGTTTATGTGCCTCTGGGCATATTTGTGTTCGGTGTCTTATTTCACACCTGCATTGACTAAAACAAAAATAGATTCTTACGTAGGATACCCCACTGTTCTCTGCTCCTGAATCTTCGTCCTTTTGACCTTCTTGCTTAAGTGACAACTGATATTTCTGTTATTCCTCAAGATAAAGAACAATCATTTGAATCAAGCAATCCACGAGGAGCGAGAGGCCATCATCGAACTGCGCGTGCAGCTCCGCCTGCTCCAGCTGCAGCGAGCCAAGCCCGAGCCGCAGGCGCAGGACGACACTGAGCCCGAGCGGCGCGGGGGTGCCGTCCAGCCACCCAGAGACGGCGCCCCGGAGACAAAAGCAGCTAAAGAGCAGCCAAAGGCAGGCAAGGAGCAGGCCAAGCCATCGCCGAGCAGAGACAGGAAGGAGACGGCCATCTGAGCGGCCCGTGCGCGTGGCACCCCAGACCCAGCAAGACTGTGCATCTTACTGTAAACGCGGGAGGCAGAGCCACAGCTCTCGGCTGTGCATTCTATAAAGACGTCTTTTCTTCTCAAAGACTCTTCCCTCTCTCACACGTATGACTTCTCCGTGTCGGGCTCAGGTTACACGGGAGGACAAAGCGGTGGACGCATTGTGGGCTTGTAGGGGACAGATGAGTTTTCCAGATAGTGTCAGCTTATTTGAAGATTAATTTTCTTTGTTAACTTAAAATAACTATTTTAACCCTTGAGTGGCTTCTTTTTAAACCAAAAATCATCTTTCTTTGCTTTTTTATTACGGCAGAATCAGGATCTCTTTCTCTCGTTCAAGGTAGGGGGGACCAAACAAGGTAAATACTGTTCCTGCCTTGTGGCTCGCCCCGTAGTCTCGCCCTCCAGGATCTCTGCTTACCTAGTCACTCTTGCTTGTGCCTTTTACACCTTTTCGGTGCAGATTATAAATGGGGAGCTGCCTCCTATTTCCTGACTGGCCAGAATGGCTCTTCCTGGGGTTACCATTACCCACCCTTGTCACCTTCTCCTTTGACAGTCCTAAACCACAGTCCATGAACCCGAGTCACCAGGACGGCCTAGTTGGTCTCAGACAGAGCTGCCTGTGGAGCCTGCCCCCTGGCCCTGGGGCAACGTGGCCGGTGGAGGAGCAGCCGCCTCGCTCCTTTGGCTCTTTCCGGCTCCTCACGGCTAGCGATCGGCAGGTGCTCCTCACTGGGTTGGTTGGTGGCAGCTGCCTTGGCCTAATGCACCCACACAAAGGATCTGTTTCTCAAACCAGAATCGTCAATGTGACTGACTTCCATTAAAAACAGAATGACTTAGATTGCTTGCTTGGGCTGGAATGTAAACGTCTCTTTGCCTGAATAAGCCATATATTTACTGTTAAACAAGTTTTCAATTCTCCATGTCGTCTCAGTGAACCTGCTGAGGACTCCCAATTGACGAGATTGAGCAATAGAAAACCTCCTTTTAATGCTAGCTGTGATCCCCAATCCTGTTTTCTTGCTTCTGTCACTTCTCTGGTGACCTGAGGCGTCTGGGGGGCCAGCTCTCAGGCACCTTCGTTCAGCCGCGCTCTGTCCAAATAAATGGCACCCATGAGGTGGGTCAGCTCTCATGGCTGTGAAGACAAACCCCACACACGGTGATGGAAACAAACCCCACGAGGGCTCTGTCCTCTCCTCCTAGTTAGTATTTATTTTCAGCACCTGTTTGATGCGGTTTTTTATCCTCTACCTATTGCACTGTTGTGACTTGTTGGCCATTATTTGATTTTTGTACGAAAAAAGCTTTGTTATAGAAATCAGCATACTATTTTTTTAAATCTGGAGAGAAGATATTATGGTGACTGAAAATATGGTCAGGTGTCAAATATAAATGTGTAAAGCCTTCTTGCTGTCCTGTCGGTCATGTTACATTCATTTTATATTTGCTGGCAATATTGAAGGTTTCTTTTTTGTTTGTGTAAACTCTAATTTCTATCAAGGTGTCATGGATTTTTAAAATTAGTATTTCATTACAGTTGTCTCAGCGTTGGTTAACTAATTTTGCCAGGACCATTATTGATCAAGCAAATAAATTCAACAGCCATTTGAGGAAAAAAAGTTTGTTTTTTGTACACATTCTTTCTTTGAAATAGTTGAGTGCCCTGTGGTGGGCAAGGAGTTGGTGTGATACTTGTTTAAGGTGAACGGAACGTACTGGTATAACTTACTTGTGTTCCTCAGCCAGGCGGAAGTGATGCCCTCTTGTTGGTTCCTAGAGGTCACAGCAAGGTCCTCCTCCGTCCTCACACCAGTGGCTGCCGCTGGGGAGCATGTGTGTGCGCAGTCCGGCTGGCTGCGATTGGGTTTGCAGCTGCTTCTGTGAGTGACATCTCGCTTCCAGTGGAAAGTGAGCTTTGACCCCTAGCACGACGCACAAGTCAGTTGGCCCAACTTGGCAAAGAAGTGGGTTGGTTCTTGCAAAGTGACTTTAGGGGATAACAGGGGTCTATTGGGCAGATTACCTAATTAGTGTTGATCAGGCCATTCCTAATTAACTGGCTTAAGATTTCATTTCTGGGGCTGGCCCCGTGGCCGAGTGGTTAAGTTCGGGCACTCCGCTTTAGCAGCCCAGGATTTCACTGGTTCAGATCCTGGGTGCAGACATGGCGCTGCTCGTAAGCCACGCTGAGGCAGGATGCCACATAGCACAACCAGAGGCGCTCACAACTAGAATGTACAGCTATGTACTCGGGGACTTTGGGGAGAAGAAGAAGGGGGAGAAAAAAAAGATTGGCAACAGATGTCAGCTCAGGGCCAATCTTTAGAAAAAAGAAAAAAAAAGATTTCATTTCTGGGAGAGCTGAAACTGTAATTAAGTCTCTAATTACATAGTGATGTGGGTTTAGCATAAATGACTCTGTCTTGGGCTGTTGTCTCTTTTAACAATTACCCCCTTTTGATCAGACTCTCAGCCTAACTGAGAGAGGTGATCAAAATTTAAGGCATTAGAGCTACTCCCAGCTACTGCTCTGTAGTTGTCGTAGTTTTTGCTGAATTGCTGTGTGGCATTCACAGGTCATGATGTCAGGCTGACATTCTTCTAAGTCAGTCCTTGTCTTTGTTCCTTTTTGACATTCTGTTCTCAGGGAGATCATGTGTGTGTTGGGTAGTGGCTGCAAACATGCCTTTAAAGCTTTTGCGAGAATACAGCACACTAAGACTACTGGGACTAGAACAGGCTATTTCCCAGTGTCTGGAGTGGACTTCAGAGCCATAGTCCTCAAGACCCAAACCAACCAGCAAAGAAACACACTGCTGGAGAAGTCACTGTT